ATTTCCGAAAAAGAAAATGAGCTCAGAGGCATGTGTAGTCTTAATTACCAGAATGTATCTATCTACATGTGTTCCTGCTTCCTAGGTTTATTTATGGGAAAACAAAACAAAGCAAAACAACCCATTCTTTTCTAAAGATGGCCACTTTCTTTAGGTACCATCTCCATGACATTTGGATTTACTTTTATGATGAGAAACTCTGAACTTGTTCTTTTTCTTTTCTTTCTTCATTTGTACACAAATCATTTGACAGGCAGTGGTCTTTTTTTAATTATAAAGCTTTTTTCAGTGGGAGGTAAAACATCAGAAAGAACAAACAAAGACAAATGCAGACAACCATGTGGGGAAAGTTAAATAACATTTGATGGTTAGAAGTGTTTACAACAGTATACTCTTAGAAGCTCTTCTAATATTATTAAGCAGATAAATTGGTGCTTTCAAAACTTTACGCTAGGATGGAGAGGCTTCCTTCAAACATGTCTTAGCACTCCTTATGACTCTCTAAAAAAATAGAAACCTATTTGTCAAGAAGTTCAACATAATAGCAGAGCATGGCTGTTTACGTTTTTACATCTACCTGTGTCCTTGACAAGAGCAGTATTAAATAACCCAATATCCAGTGATATCTTTTTAGAGATGCTTAATATTTGTAATAATCAAATTACTACGACACTGAAGTCAGCAACATATTGCAGGAATGCAAAAGGAATAATTTTATAATATATACTTTGTTTGCTATGTCCTGCTTTTTTTCTTAAGAGTCTAGGATGAGTACAAGGCTGAATATTCATGTTTTCAGTTCCTAAAATGCAGCAATTGATAGCAAACCTTTCTGAGTATATTTACAGCTGCAGAGGTTATTTGAAACATCTATCAAATTTTCATGTAGGTGTACACCATAGTTTATAGCTTATATAAGGCCTCTCATTTAAGGATTGTGAAAATGTGAATGTGTGTCTTCTCCTTTTTTTATTTTCCTTTTCTGCCAGTTTGGGTTTCACTGGAATTTCATACTCAGCCTTTACTGGAGTGGTTAACATCAAACCTCACTGAACATATATAGAATTAAATTTCAAACTTAATTTGGTTATTAGTGAGACACACCTGATACCAATATCTCACTTCAATCATGTAAATAGAAAGAAATGAATTTAACTAATTAGAATTGCATCTGTATTGTAGAGGTGTGAGATCAGATTTTGTAGATTGAATGGAGTTATATATTTGGATTTAATCCACGACTTTAAGGTACTTGCAAGAGGTATTCAGGGAGGGATCAATTTGAATATGTGTATATTGATGTTTACAAATACACAGAGTCATAGGATCCTCAAGGTTGGAAAAGAACTCCAGCATCATAAATTCAACTATAAACCCAGCACTGCCATAATCACCACTAAACTATATCCCCAAATGCGACATCCACACACTTTTTGAACACTTCCAGGGATGATGACTCCACCACTTCCCTGGGCTGAGCGTTCCAATGCCTAACCACCTTTTCTGTGAAAATTTTTTTCCTAATTTCCTATCTAAATCTCCTGTGGTGCAGCTTGAGGCCATTTCCTCTTGTCCTGTCACTTGTTACCTGTGAGAAGAGACTGACCCCACCTCACTACAACCTCCTTTCACGTAGATGTAGTGCCGTTCTCTAGACTTGCTCCAGCACCTCAATGTCTTTCTTGTAGTGAAGGGCCCAGAACTGAACACAGGATTTGAGGTGCAGCCTCACCAGTGCTGAGTACAGGGGAATGATCACTGCCCTGGTCCTGCTGGCCACACTATTGCTGATACCGCCCAGGATGCCTTTGGCCTTCTTGGCCACCTGGGCACACTGCTGGCTCATGTTCAGCTACTGTTGACCAACAGTCCCAGGTCCTTTGCCGCTGGGCAACTTTCCAGTCACTCTTCCCCCATCCTGTAGCACTACATGAGGTTGTTGTGACTGAAGTGCAGGACCCGGCATTTGGCCTTGTTGAACCTTATACAATTGGTTGTGGCCCAATGATCCAGCAACAATAGGAGGGAGCAAAGAAGATGGAGCCAGAGTCTACTTTGAAAGGACAAGAGGTTTTGGACTGAAATTTTAACATAGGAAAATCTATTCAAATGTTGAAAATAACAATTTTTTTGTTTGTTTTTTTTATTTTGTTCACAGGGTTTTTTTTTTTTTTTTTTTATTTTGTTCACAGGGTGGTCCGGAGAGATTGTGCAGCCTTCATTCTTGGAGGTATTCAAAACCTGACTTGACATGGTCATGAGCAACCTTTTATTGATGACCCTGCCTTGAGTACTGAGGTTGAACTAAACAAATTCTTGACGTGCCTTCTCACTTCATCTATTCCCTGATTCTGTGAGATTTCATTTTATTCTTAAATACTATCCTCTTATTTGCTTGACCTTGATACTTAAATTTGGAAATTATTAATTGCCAAATTAAGAAAATATACCATTTAAATGTAATTTACTACATGTTCCTGTAATCAGAATTACTATTTAGAAACAATGCCTCAAGCTCAATTTTGTGCCATGATTTGGTCTGGGTAGAAAGTTGGATAGGGGTGAAATTAATAGTGATTAATTTATACCATTTATACTGCATGTTCTGAAAATGCTGTGAAAGATAGGCAGAGATTACATCAAATAGTTCTTACCTGCCTCAGGGCTGTTCTAACTTAGGACAAAAAATAAAACCCAGGCTGAAAGCAGAAACAGATAGGTATCTGAAATAAATGATGATATAATCTATTGCTCTCTTTGCTGCAAGGTTATCCCAGTGCCTATCAACATTCCTCAGAGATCCACAGTGTCTGTGTTTAAAAGCCATCAAGTGTTTCTAACTGAAAGACTTGTTAAAACTATTCCATACTCCTGACATCATCCAAGAACAGGCCTTTAATCTTGTCAGAAGTTTATGACTAAATAAAAATTTTAAACTAAAATTTTAAAGGATTTGATTGTGGTGAGGTACTTTTGTCCAGAGGGCTGCTAACAGTCAGGGAATTTGGCCTTTAGCTCGAAGACAAAAGGAAAATTGTTATAAAACTTTTCTTCCTTTTCCTGTAACCAAACCAACACCACCAAAAAAAAATCCTATAAATCAAGTATATTAAAATAATAACTGGAAAATGAATTTGTTTACAGTGGTGGTCTGCTATGCAAGAAGCTGAATTACATTTGTGCTAAGTGGAAAAACTTTCATGCATCTGAATTTTCTGAGCAGTACCAGATCAGATTGATACCTCTAGGCTGCATCAACAAAACACCAAGTCCTATTTTATATTTATGTGGTCATTTAAATATATGGGATAATAGGCCAAATATGATCTGAGGGTGAAATGAAATCTGGAGAGCAGAACCAGTACAGGGTCCAGGTTTCTAATCAGCTTCTATTAAAATCAGAACAGGCCCTTGATTTCTTTTTTATATGTATATATTGGTGCCAAATCCAGCCTGGGAACAAGGAACAATACAGATCATTTTTCACAGATCCCCACAGAGATCAAACCACTCTGTGAAGTAATGCACTGGAACTTAAGTGAAGTTTTTCACAAACATGGGCTGTTGTGGTTGCCTGAAATTTCTGACATGCCAAAAGGTAGCAAAGTAAAGGGGATCACATTCACTGGATTTCTGCTCAGGCTGTTATCGCAGATTCCTTTGAGGTGCTGAGCCCAGAAACAGAGAAGGCCAACGTATCTTGGAAACTGTAAGCCAGTACTGTATCTACTAATACACTGTACATGCCTGAGGTTATCCTCCTCAAGGATAACAGCCATGGGACAGCCCACATTTGTCTCTTACTCTCCAAGTCAAGGTGGCCACATGAATGGCAGGTAGCTTCTCCAGATCCTGGTTCATGCCCAGCAATGACCAGGCTGACAATTTAGAGATATGGTGACTGGATTTCAGGGCCTGGGAACACTCCTTGACGCTATTTTCCATAATACAGATGCAGTCTATATATCCCTTTTATGATCAAAGCTTCATCATTTTGATAGCAAGTAAGTTACAAATATAGAACTACAGTTCTCTCTCTCTCCTCAGCATATGCTTAATGTATGTGGGAATGGGATTTGAGATGTAAATAAATGCTAGATTGCACACAATTGGAACTGTGATTTGGGCACTATAAAGTTATAAAGAAGAATGCATGTGAATACACAACTTGAAAATGGAAGACAATATTAACAGGAGAAATCAAATGAAATACTTTACTCCAGATCTCCTGTGAAAACTACAGTGATTGTCATCTTGGAGAACCCTAACAGACGTCCTAGATCTATATTGCACCACATGAAGGGCAATTTCATCAGGCCCTTCAGTGCATGGTTACCCCAGAGCACGACTGTCTCTTCTCAATAGTGTTTCTTTATCACTATGGGTTTGTACTGCTAGCTTAACATCCCTTTGCTTTACCATTTGCTGGATGATTTGAACTAACAGAAGGAAACAAGAAATATAACCCAGAAATGTGTGCTTTGCTCAGTTACAGACAAGGACGTTAAACCATAATAATGCTCCCCGCCAACAGTGAGATGTTCACATCCTGAAAAAAACAGCTGCATATACAGGTGTCTGCACCAGATGCTTCCCTAAGCACAATGTGATAAAAGTGATTATTCCTCACTCAACAGAGAACAGTCCCTAAGCAGGGTATTTAAAGAAGAGTGATAATGCAGGTAATTAGGAGCCCCATGCTTTACACACAAAGCAATTTTAAGAGGGTGAAGCTGAGAACCATCTGTCTTTATATGTTTTATCTGTGAATTCATCATAACAATGAGCAGTTTTCAGTCTGATTTCTCAAGCAAGATTATACTTAGAAATTGTTTAAGGATAAATAACTTATCCCTAGTTGTAATAGGTGGTACCTTGCCCTGTGACTCCAACGGGAACATGGGCATTAGAATGTAATAGCTAGCCAATGGACATTTCAATAAGGAGTGAAGGAATACCCTGGGCTTGCCTCAAAGTATGTATATAGTGACTTTTCCTACCTTTGGACTTCCTGTCGTGGTAGCTCCTGCCTCGATAATGGTGGCCACTGTCTGTGTACAGATTCTCAAGATCTTCTTGCCAGGAGTCCGGGTTAAAGTGTTTGAGCAGATCCTCCACTGTGTCAAATGCAGCAATGGTTTGATCCAGTGCTTCTGCCGTGAGCGTAGCATCAGTCACTGATGGAGAGGGATAGGATACCCCCTAAGAGTGACATATATCTCAGTGCACTTTGAATAAGTTACAGCACCACTTAAAACAATTGAAAACAGTTACTGAGAAACTTGTCTCATTATTGAGTGAAACAGCTACTTCGGGCCATCTTTTGAAGTCTTTGCCTGGGCCAGGCTTTGTTATACCTGTGTTTTCTTTTTGTAAGGAGAAGAGACACCAGGGAACTCCCAAACAAATCCCAGAGGAGATTCAGGGAGCAAAAGCACTGCCACTGGTGGGCTGTCAGCATTTACATCCACTTCTCAAACGGGATAATGATTTGCACATTTACAGAGATGTAATGAAAATGTCTTTTGAAACCACCGTTATGGCCATGGACCTAGAATGGAGAGGTCAGCTTTGTCAGTTATTTGATAAGAGGCAGATCAGAAACCATAGCAGAGAAAGACAAAGACAATAAGTCCACTATCTTTCTCTGGTCAACTTGGGCAACAAATTTGGCTTGGTTGAAGACTTGAAAAAATGACCCTTTATTCCCCAAAATTAAATGTATTTCAATACACCAACTGACATTTTTTACCAAAAAATACAACTTATTAATCAAACAGAAAAAATATGATACTTTGATCTTAGGAGTGCTGGTGGATAAGAGGCTGGACATGAGTTGGCAACATGCGTTTGCAGCCCAAAAAGCCAATTATATCCTGGGCTGCATCAAAAACAGCGTGGCCAGCAGGGTGAGGGGGGAACTTGCCCCTCTATTCCACTCTTGTGAGGCTCCACCTAGAATACTGCATCCAGCTCTAGAGTCCCTAGCATCAAGAAAGGGCATCAACCAGTTGGAGCAAGTTCAGAGGAGAGCTACCAAGATGATTAAAGGGATGGAGGAAAGGCTAAGAGAATTGGAATTGTTCAGCCGTGAGAAGGCGTCAGGGTGACCTAATTTTGGTCTTCCAATACCTGAAGGGACCTTAAATGAAAGACAGAGAGAGATTTTTTACAAGGGCATGCAGTGATAGGACAAGAGGGAATGGCTTTAAAATAAAAGAGGGGAGATTTAGGTTAGATATTAAGAAGAAATTCTTTACTGTGAGGGTGGTGAGACACTGGAACGGGTTACTGAGAGAGGTTGTGGATGCCCTAACTGTCAAGTGGAGGGGGCTGTGAGCAAGCTGGTCTAGTGGAAGGCATCCCCGCCCACAGCTGGAGTGGAACTAGATGATCTTTAAGGTCCCTTCCAACCCAAGATATTCTATGCTTCTATGATCTCAGCAATGTAACAATGAATATTTGGATTACCAATGTATTAATATTCTCACAATTGTATCAAATAATATTATTTCCCATCGGTAAGGGCCAAGCACCATTCTCTGAGTGTTCCCACTGAACCTGTGGTACAACTTAACTTTGACAGAAAGATTGTAGTAATTTCAGTTTTCCAGGAGAGGACTTCAAACATTTTTAAAAATCATTATTTAGAATTACAATATACACTATCCTGACATCGCTTTTTCCCTGGTCCGAGCACAAAGTCAAATAGTATGCAAATATTATGTAAAATATTTGCAAGAAAAGCTATTAATGCAGATCTCTTACTTTTTGAAGGACCACAATCAAAATACATTATTTTGTCCAACAAGAAGCATAGTAGAACACGAGAGTTGTTTGGTCTTACATGTTAAAACATTGGGGGGAAAACCCTAGAAAACTCTTGTCTTATGAAAACCCAGCTCTGAAGTAATGCAGCAGAAATATGCCATTTAAAATTAATGGCTTCCCAAAATATTTTTTTTGCCTCATATCCTAGTTAAGTTAAACTATTAATCTTTGTGATTAACTTCACTCAGTTGGGTAGTAATGGAAAGGCCAACTCATTTGAGTAAATGCACTCATTTTTTTTGCAGGATTGTGTCCTTCAATTCCTACTATAATAATTTTAAAGTATATATGTCTTTTAAAATAAAACAGTTGTCTCTAATGGTAAGATATATCACAAAATTAACAATCCTTGATATTTTACTGCATTTATTTGCTGGAAGTACGGACAGTACAAATTATTAAAAAAAGAAGAAATAGAAAACATAACAATAGTGCAGTCAAGAAAGCACAGCTGCACTTTACTGCTTACGACCAACGACCCAAGAAGTTTCAGAGGGCCCACTTGTGACTGCAATGCCTCTCTAGTGCCATGCTAAGTAAGACACAGTGCAGATGCCTGTAAAAATTCATGTCCCCTAAAAGGGAAGGCATACCTCAAAGCCTCTCTCCTGACTTCTAAGTGGCTTGGAATAGAGACCGTCAGAGAGATGAAAGTCCCAGGAGTTGAAAAGCTCCAGTTGAAAAGCTCACCAGTAAAGTGAATACAGCATTGTTATCTAAAGCAATGTTGCAGGAAGACTATGCAGTGGCCAGCATCATGCAGTGTGCTAACACAGCCTTTTGGGCTACAAAAGGAAAAGGCATCCAAATGCTACTTTCTTACTAAGAAGAGCTCGGTGGGGCTCATGGCAGCCCAACAGGGAAACATCAGACCCTGATTGCCTTTCAAAAGTGAGGGAGATGGTGCAAGGAGACTGAAGAAACAGCAATAAAAATCAGGCCACAGGTCTGTGGCTTACTCAGTGCAAGAGATTTTTTTTTTTCGCATGTTCAACTGTACATTTCATTACAGAAATGCAGATCAGTGAATGTGCAAGGCATTTCAAACTGAGACAGCTAGGCATTCTCCATTTTCGTTTCATATAAAAGCTTCTATTCAAGAGATTTGTGCAACCTCGTTCAAACATAGAAGAAAGCTTAACGTTTTCTCAGTGACAGCCAAATAAAGAGGAATTATTTCAACAGCTCAGATAGCCTCCTGACACCATGTGACAGGCCCAAAAGCAACTTCAAAGCTGCCAACAAAACTGGCTTTTTTTTTTGTTCTGCCAAGAATGAGGTGCTGGCTTTAGGAGAGTTTGTGCTCGTTGTAATCTGGCTTCTGATATGGCATCCAAAGAGGGAGCAAGAAGAAGAGTGAAATGTAAGAAGCAATGAAGAGCAAAGATTTACCACATTTTGTATCTCTTTTGCATTTCTTAAAAGCACTGAATACATTTTTAATTTAATGGAACACAAAGGTATCTTTTTTTTTTGTCAATGCTCTTGCCCCTAATTTCTATTCCCCAATTCTTTTATCTTTCCTGTATCTGTTGTGAACCTGACAGACAGTCCAATGTGCATCACAGTTTTTTTGTTGGACATAAAATTACTTCAGAAATAATGGAAACTAAACTAATAAGGAGTGATTTGTTTCCTTTTTATTTTTTTCCTGGGTTTCCCATGATGGGTTAAGGGCAGAAGTATTTGTTTTAGCTTTCTGAGAAAAAAACCCCAAAAACCAAACCAAACATACCTCTGTAATATGATCTCCAATATGGAATTTGCTCACTCTGAAATTTTCATTCTGAAAGTTGTAATGTGTCTAGATCCTAAAATGAGTCCTTGAGTTGCTTGTGGGTTTGAGAGAGCAATTTTTGAGCATCAGCAGAATCTTATGTCATCAAGACTTACAGGTCTGAGTTTGTCTCTCTGCTCCTCAAGACCAGAGTAGAACCCCTGAATCTTTCTCTCCTGAAGAACTTGGGTGTTCTCAGACTTTTTCCTTCGTGCTTTTGTGAAAAATTGCTCAATCTCCCTACCTTATTTTCCCTGAGGATAAAAGGGACTTGTAGGTGCGACACACACCCAAGTTGAAGAAAATATGTTTTATGAGATAGGGAATGGTGCGGGAAAACCAGTAAAACTGAGGTTCTGCTTCTGGTTGAGCTGTAAGTTTCCAGGTGACCTTGGGCATCATCTTGCTACCTGTAACATTTGTACTGAATTTCCCTACCTGCAACATGGTAACAATTTTTCAAAAAAAAAGATGTGGAAGATAAACTTAATTTTTCAATATGAAAAGGATACTGGATTTTGGTTTGGTATATTGTGCATTTTATGATGCTAAGGATGTTAACTAACATGGCGTATACCATATCATTGATCTCATTTTCATAGTCATCTGCTGAGGGAGCCCTAGGCTTACATTTTCAAACATCAGCCTACCATATTTTTAAACAAAATATTCCATCATATAGATTTTTTTCCCCCAAGCCCATAATAGAATGAAAAATGAGTTTATGTCTTTCAGTAAAACTGTTTTAGCATCTCCTGCTTGGCACATCTAGTAGATCTCAGCCCTGCTAACATTACTCCTCAAGACTTTCAGCACAATTAGTTCCAGGCAATCAATGCATCGTATCATGAAGGACAAGTTTCATTTGCAAACTCAAGGGTAAACATAAGTAAGACTAGCTTAACAGCTTCTAATTTTGGCAGTATAGAATTTTCTCTCTACTCACTGCCTGGATTGGACACTGATCAGGATATAAACTTAAAATTTTTAAATAATTTAAATAAAATACCCATATTTTATTTACTGCTCCTTCACTGGCTACTCCTGGCAGCTATTGTAACAAAGGTGCTATCATTAAACTCTCTTCCGTGAATGCTCCAAACATTGGTCTCAAATCTGCTTTTAGCATTTATCCCTACCTCGTGTTTTAAGAGGAGTTAACAAGAGCTGTGACATGGTGCTGCCTAGGCAGCAGAGCACACAGAAGAGGACTGCCCATATTATGAATTCTGATGCTACGCTGCTGTTCCCAGGTGTTGGGAAAGAGAGGACAGATTTTTTGTCAATGACACAAATCAAATGCAATGAAGAGAAAAATAAAATTTTATACTGGATTACGTGTTTTTCTTCTTCTTTCTGTTTTATTTTTCTCTGAGTTGCATTTCACTGCTGAATGCGGAGACTTCAGATACAATATTTTATTGGAAACACTTTAAAAAAAATTCTCAGTATTCACAATGAAAAGCTAGATCTATGTTCCTACTGTTTTAATTTTAGTTTTCTGTTTAGGTCAAGACATTCTACAATTAAAAATTTTAAGTTTATATCCTGTATTTTCATATTGGGAGAATGAGTTTGAAAGCAAGAAATGGCTATCCCAATGGCTATCTCATGTGATTACAACAGTTGATGGCATATCCTGAATCTTTTATCTCTAAAACCATACTGATTGACTCCAGTATGAGTTGAATAAACACTTATTTCATTCTATTCCAAAAGTGAATACATGGTTTCTCCATGCAGGTGCCATTTTTGTGAGTTGGATTCAAGCCATCCTATCAATCCATCCATGAGCAAAATAGTGAAAAATTACTTACTGAGACAGAGCTTGTGACTGACTCCCAGTTGGTTTCTGAGGCTGCATGCTGGAAATCATCCTAAGGGGAAAAACCCACAGGAAAAATCATTGTTAAGGCAATATCCAAAATTAACTACAGAACCTAGGAAATATTTCAGCATTCAACCTCTGTCACTTTTTCTAACACTCTTTATTGCAAGAGTCCCTTGCTATGTGTCATTCCTAAATAATGCTATTTCCATTAAGGTTCCTCCCTTTTCATTGTGTATAAACTAGCTCCTTGCAAGCTTGCTGGGACAAGAATAGGTGGTATAATAATAATAATAATGATGATGATGATGATAACAATAATACCACCACCAATATGATAATTGCTGCTTTGCATAGCAGCACCCAATGTGGTCCAGGACATAATATTTATCTTCTTTATATTAAACACCATCTCTGTATGCCTATAATCAGAGTATCAATGCCATTGTCAAACTGATCTGTTCTGGAAAGAATGTGGACATGCCAATACCCTGGAATTACTTAGTCAAGGTGAAAAGCAGAGTAATCTAATCCATTTGAAAAGCAGTCCTAACATGACTGTATTGCTTTTGGTGCTTGAGCTGAACAGGAGTTGCTCATCTGTACAGGAATGGCACTATGTTCTTTACACCAAAAAACACAGCCGCAGTACATTCACAGTAGAAGTGTCACTGCATCAAACCTCTGGGTATTTATGATTAATTTGAGCACAGGGATGGGTTTCATCTCCTCCACCTTTGGACATCTATAAAGCCAACATCTAAGTGAGTTGTTCTTGTTTCCATTTACAGTCAACAAAACCTGGCATGTTCAGGGTGAAAATCATCTGATAAACTGTTTTAGAAACTTAATTTGGAATGACATTGCATCCTAAAAAAGCATTTTTGTCTCCATTGTCTCTATAAAAGGGACATGGGAGGATGAGCTTAGGTATCGATGTCAAAACTGTAGATATTGATATGTGGGCACCTAAATCCCAATCCGCTTGTCTGAGAAATCACTACTTAAATAATGAAGAAGCCATTTCTTTAATATGTTGGTGGTTTTACACATTTCCAACTGGAATAACTAAACCATGAAAAATGGAAAAAAAGGCAGCATTACAGAATGGCCATTAAACACACACATGCGGTGAATAGCTAATGATCAACATGATTATGCAGGTAAGGAAAGTGGACTGAAGCGACAGTATACAGAGATTTTAATTTCTAATAATCAAATTTATAATGAAAAGATTTAAAGAAGATGGATCAATGCCTGGGCTCACAATTTTGTCCCAACACAGTATCTGCTAAGCTAGAAACTGAAGGGGAAAATGGAAGGTAGCTGCTCAACTGATGCTCACTAGACTTGATCCTGCATTGGACCATACATATATGCATATATTATTTCTTAGGAATGAAAAACAGAAAATTGATCTCATAATCTGCTGATTCATCAATAAAATTTTCCTTTACTCAAGAAGGAACTGCTGTCAGATCCAGAATCAATACACATGGCTTTTTAATGTTTTTCATTTGCTATAGAAAAATATTCAAATATCTCAAAAGTCACAAGATTGTGTATTCAATATTGCTAGTGTTTCTTTTTAAAATGTTCCTTTCTGTCAAATCTGAAACAGCAAAACTGTAGTGATTTCTTCAGTACTTAAGATTAGTAGAAATTAATAAACCCCATCACTAAGTGACCTTTGAAACTGCAGGGCTATTAAAAGGCTAGTAATTAGGTGGTCAATTTTTTCTAAGAATACAGAAGCAAAATATTTAGGTACACTATTTCAAAGCAGATTTTTTTTTTCCTTGAAAACAATAAAAAGATCTGCAAAAGCTATGATCAGATCATAAATAATTCTGAATGTGGCTACCTTGGCCACATTCTCTACACATTTAGTTGCCCAGTTCTTGACAAGCCACGACTTAAATTAAATAAAAATGGATTTGAAAAGCTCATGAATCCTCTGGTAATGACTGCTAGTTGCAAAATTTGGAAACCATTTCCTCTCAGTCATTAGCTTCCATTTAGCACTTCCAGAAAAAGAACTAAAGTGGCATTGAGTTCTGAGGCATTATTTTAAAACAGGAACAATTTGTCTCATTGAATGTTTGGAGAAGACTGTAGACAACAAGTAATTTTGTGTTCAAAGTGATAGTCCTATTGTGTTATCTAACTGTAGATATCAAAAATGTTTCTTTAGTCTGATTCTTTGAGCTGGTTAATGCCAGGAAACCCCTCCAAAATCCTGAGTTAGACATGTGTACCACCTGCTTCTTGGATCTCAAACCTTATGACTGCACATTTTGACTCTGTGATTACATTCGATCTGCATAAACTATTCACAACCCTATGGTTTTTTTCCACCATCAGTCAAGGCAGCTGCAGTCATTCTTGGCTTCTTGGAGCTTTCAACCTCTACAGTTTGAAGATTTTATTATCTATGGCTTCTACTTGCAGCTATTTCAAGTAATGATATTAAAGTAGTTCTCATCATTACAAAAGTCTCCCCTCTTTTCTCACCATTGTCCATAGTACAACCTGAAGGACAAATCTATTTTCAGTGCTATCTATTCAATTTATACTGTCTTGTTTATGAAAATTTGCCTATGATCACTTTGGCTGTTGTTTTCTTCATTACTTAACACTAAACTTTTTAGTTAAAAATTTAAAAAAACAAAAACCTCCAAAGCCCAAAAACATAATCTCCACATCTTTTCTAGCCTAATACTGGAAAAGCAGGGTAGTAATAATTTGGTTACGTCACCCTGAAAACAGTGCTTCTATTCTTGTATGTGTCAAGGTAACATAACAGTACTGCATGAGACTTCAACAAAGCATTGCATTAACTATTCTACAAGCAGCAAAATTACAAGCAAAACAACAGGACTACCAATCACCTTCTGATGGTAGCTACTTCTACTGAAGAAAAACGACTTCTAAACCTCAGCTTCCAAAATTACACTTCAGCAAGACAAATACTGAATCAGTCCTTAGAGTTAAATATGTATGGACATTGATATATTGTTCTTGGCTCTGTTTCAGACAAAGAAAAGCTACTCTCTCCTTCACAGACTGACTTTGTCTATAGCCTGTCTCCCACCATTGATCACCAATAAGTGACAAGGAGTCACAGGGAATACTCTGTGTTTCACCTAGAGCTTTCCCAAGTGGAGATCATGAGGCAAAATCACAGGTACTGATATATGAGACTGCAGAGCCAGATAGCACTGGTTGCTGAGGAAGATGATTTGCAGCCTGGGGGTCCATGACCTGCAGCAGCACAAGCTCTGCTGGGTTGAAGCCATCAGAATTGGTGGGAGCTGTAGGAACAGACAGGCATCAGGAAAACACCAGGGATGAGGATGAGAAGCTTGCCAGTTTGAGAAGCATGTTGTCCATAACTCACTTTGCTGTACCACCTATGTGACAAAACATGAGTCCTTCCAGTCATGCTGGATTACTGCCTGGTCCTTAAATTAAAAGCAAGAAGCACTTTCTCATATTTCTGTGATTCTTCATTTTTTACATAGTTTATCTCTATAGACCAGTCTTTTGGCACCTTGGTACGTGACATCTATGAGGCAGGATGCCTGGGATAGGCTACAGCTGCCACAGGACAGGGACAGCACACTGGCAGCTCTCTCCAGGGGAAAGAAGCAGCCCCATATCTCTATGAATTTCTTTCTAAACTCCTTCTCTTAATCTGCAGGTCTATGGGGTGAGTGGACTAGGTTTGGTAAGAGATTGTTTATCTGACAAAACAACTATAAACTACAGCTAATGAAAGCTGAGGTGATACTCTCTGCTTCAAGGAGTGGGAAAGGTTCTCAAAAGAGTTGTGATTAAGCATCCCTGATCCTAAGACAGCATCCTTAACTGATGCTTAGGCCCTACTGGTTCAAGAGGGTCCTCTCCTGAAGGAGTAACCTCTACTGTGACCTTCTACTCAGATGACAAGTAAGGGGTGAAGGGAAAAAATGAAGGCATGTTCTTGGGGCAAGTAAACATGAGAAAGAGGAAGAATGAAGCAAACTGAGGAAAAATTAAGACAGAGAAGCTGAAGAGTTGGGCTCTGTCTGTGGTCACCCCATTTGTGGTATTTAGACATCATAAACTATAAAGCAAAGAGAAGCAGTTTCTAGAAATTTGCAGAAGAACAGAGCTAAGGAATGAACTGAGGCACACAGCAGAGCCTGAAAAACCAAATCGGGGTGAAATGGGGCACATTCAAAAAGGTCCAGTACAGAAACAAAAAGTTGTGAACTCTCCATGGAGTGTAAGAATTAGAGACTAAGGAGAATGGAAGGTCTGTAAAGAAAAACTAGAGTAAATTACAACTTGAAGAAAAAAAAGGCAAAATTATCCTACTGTTTAGATTAATAAAAGGAAACTCAATCATACCTATTTTTGAATAATGGTCAACATTCAGAGCTACTTGCAAACAAGTAGCTGATAAACTTGTATTTGTTGATAGTAATAACAAATTATAATAATCTGTAAATATTTCTTTTCTTTTTCCTGCAACAGGCAATAGTACATATATTTTCTCCAAGAATTGAATTTATACATATTACATTTTATTTAAAAAGCAACAGGTATTTCAAGCAAATAAACCCCAAACTCAGAACCTAGTTTGTAACAGAAATGGTGTTAGGTAAGTTAGAAGCAAAATAAAAACCATAGTTCCATTCAAAAAAGTTCTGTGACACATACTCCATTTTGTACACTTCAACATATTAATTATAATTTCTCATGTAGCATTTTAGTACACTCCAATTTTTATTCTTAAATATAAATAAAAATCATATAGATGTACACTTTGAAGTATCTTTTTCTTTTACAATACTTTCATTTCATCACATTGCTAGGCCTTAGTTTAATATTAGAATGGCATTTTTTAGCACTTCTCCTAAGGATGTGGTAAGATACCTACAGCAGGCTACTCACTAGGGCGCCAGATGCTGCATTTTTCTTACAGTAATGGTCAAACCACTGCTCTGTTCAGCTCTGGTGACAAGACATCAAAATAAAAGGTACTGAATTCGGAAAGCATGC